ACTCTATTTTTTAACTTGTATTGATCCCACACTTGTCCTCTTCCTATCTCTTACTAAATTATTCCTAATATAATCTCTGTTTTTTTTTATTTAACCCCCCCCCCCCTACGGACGGGGGGGACGGATTTAATAAATTAAATCGTAGATTAAAAAAAAATAAAGGCGGGGTCGGGGAGGGATAGTCCACAATATACCAATAAGGTAAATCCGACTTGAACGGATAAAAATTTTAAATTTAAATAGTCCTAAGCTATTCATGTCTACCAATTCCATCATTACCTTTATTTAAATATGTATAAAAATTATATTGCCTGAGATAGGATTTGAACCTACAACCAAAGAAGCTTCAATTCTCTACTCTACCTATTGAGCTTCTCAAGCTAAATTTCATACCTATAATAGATATTAATTTATGGAATTTGAGTCTCAAAAAAAATCTAAGGTTACTAACTCCCTTCACTTCGTGACCCAGCTCGCTTGCGAGCGAAGGGAACAAAGTGTCTCCCCCCCCCCCCCCCCCCCGCCGCTGCCGCCGCCGCCCCCCCCCCCCGCCGTTCTTTTTTCGGTCTTGAGTGCTTTATACACTCTATTACAGAATCCCTGGCGAGGATGGCGTTTAGGATTTTTCATTTCAAGCCGGGCTCGATTCTCTTCGTGTTCTTCTCAGCATTGGATGCTGGGACGATCCCTATGATCAGTGCGGATGGGCAACATCATGTAGAAAGTTCATAGAATACCCTTTTTTACGTTTTATCACATCATTTCATCTGAATCCGTAATCGGTCGATTTCTGACAAACAGGGCTTTATTGAGCGTCGTATTTCAGTGGTGGAGGTCGCAAGCAATTCTATGGATACTCTGCGATTGTATTGACTCGATACTAATTAGATGCTATTCAGCCGAACTCATGCAAACTCCCTTCATTTGACTTTGCGTCTCCGACCGCCACTGGTACCAGCGGGTTTTCTCTTGGCAGGTGATGCGTTACGGGATGTGGCCCTCGTCGTCCTGGAGCTCCCAAGTTCTGGTTCGGGGGAAGATCCCGCCTCCAGCCCCGTCACATTATGTTGACCGTAATGTTGACTAACCCGTGCGCCATTTCCGTGGCCATCACTACCTGTATCGTCTTCCCGCACCATTTCTCCTAAGCTGCTCCTAGCAGCGGTGGGACCTCCACTGTGAGACATGTTGCTGTAAGCCACGGTGCCGGTAGGATACCTCGCGCGTGGGCCATCTGTCTGATACTGAAAAGGATCTGGTGGATGGTGAGAAGATGACGGTTGTGGATACCAATCCTCCCCATGTGGAATACTGTTGAATGATGAGTTTGGCATTGATGTGTCTGAAGCATGTCGTTGGTTGGGAGGTGTTGAAACATATTGATAGTCGAAAGGTGAGGAAGAGCCATGACGTTGAGAGGAAGCTAAATGAGAAGATGCTGGGGAACGGGGATGTGTTTGCGATGTACCGGGAGACGAGAGCCCAACCGGCGAGCCAGACTCCGCCCGACTACGAATCATAGTCGAGGGGAGAGAGTGGCGAAGCCAGGCATCGTCATCGGCAGTCCGAGGCTGTCCACGGCCAGATGTCGTCGAATCGAAGTGAGAGAGTGGAACTGCGACACGTTTTTCCTGTTCCTTCCGTCCTCTGCGGTCTTTGCCTTTTCTTTTGTCCGCCTCAGCCTGAAGACGCTTGCGCCTCCTTTCCAAAGCGGCGAGCTCTTCCTTGTTTAATCTAACGTCTTGTTTCCCCTTAGCTTTCGCCTTTCGTATCCGGGCCAATGCCGATTGCACCAAAGCATTCTCCATTTCAGACCGAGCCTCGTCCTCCGTATCGTTGTCCGTTGTGGCTTGAGAGTCGCTCTCTGTCGAATCGGTATGGTCATCGTCGGAGCTTTGATGAGCATGTTTATCCCGACCACGACCACGACCCATATCTACACCCGTAAATCGAAGTTCATCACTTACAAACCGCCTGCTACCCGATGTATTCGCAACTCCAACGCCTTGTGTATCCGTATCATCGCTCTCCAGTTCCTCGACGACCCTGCGTCTAATATCCCAAAAGTCGTCATCAGGCGCAACATACCTCCTCTGTCCACGCCCGGATGGTCTTCCCCATGAGGGCGCATATTTGGGAGCTCGCGGCCGACCACCTAGACCGCCTCCCCTGAAAAAGCCTCGTCGATAGGCTTGTCCAGCAGAGAAGCGTGGCCAAGAATGGCCACGCCACTCGCGCCAATCAACCAGAGGACAGTGGTGAAAGGCGAAGCAATGAGAAAGAGAAAACCGCAGGTACATAACAGGCCCGTGTACAACTGGGACGAGGTTGCGGTGAAGGTACCGATAGTTAGGTCTTGTCCATTAAGTCGGCCAAGTACCCACAGGCCGACAGTGAGGAGAACGATGTCGAACAGCAAGATGGGGTTGGTAATCAGCGCATAGATGCTGAGGAGGACAAAAACTACGGCATAGTTGCTCGAGAAAGTCGACAGATTATAATTGACGCGCGACTGAGCCTCTGCAAAGTTGGCCGGCTTAGAGAAGCGTTTGAAGTCGAGGAACTCGCCAATGGGCTTCATGTTGGCAAAGCGGCTAGAGATTGAAGTGCTGCGTAACGCAGAGAAGCGATCGCCGAGATTCAGGCGCGATGTGATGACATCGAGGGGGATCTGAATACGAGACATTGTAGGCTATGTTGGATGAGGCAACCTTGGAGACTGGCTGTGGCACGGCAGACGAAGACCGGAGACACCTGGGGGCTTGGGGAATTGGCCGTAGATGGAATGACGGATAAGACACTGAGCTGAATTCCGAGAGCTGATGGCGTGAAAGACAAAGAAAGAAGCTGATTTACCAATGTTCTGGTTAACGATACGGACGTAGCAACAATGGTGAAAGGGGCTAGGTTACATACTTTTTGAGGCCTGCTCTTTAGGCTACGCAGTGAACCGAACGGCGTTTGCTGGTGCCTAAATTCACGGGCTGGGGGAGAGGCTGAGGCGAAATATGCTGAGTGTCAGGTGAATTGGATGGATGGATGGCTTGTATTGAGTGAGCGCGGGTTATGAAGATGCTGGCTGGCGAGAACTGAGTGTTGACAGGTAACAAAGACGGACGGAGGATAAATTTGCCAATCGGATCCAATGATCCCAGCTCTGCGAACGGAACGGAGGTACCTAGAACTTGTACCTAGGCTAGGCGGGTTAGTAAGGTCGGCCAGGGGGCGCACACACTAAATGGGGCGCTAGCCCGGCCGGGCGCTGACGATAAGATGGCCCGTGCGGTCGTATTCCGTTGTGCCACTGAATGTACGTAAGCCGGTAGCCGGTGCCTTAGATAGTCACGTCTGATCACAGGTGGCAAGCATGAGACGGGCCGGCAAGCGTCTCGGCCCCCCTCGTTGGTCTGCCTACACGACCCACGCTTGACCAGACAGCGGGGACCATGTAGATGAAGAGGGGATGCGGAAAAGAAGAGAAAAAATATATAAAGGGAAGAGAAAGGAAGAGAAGAGAGAAGAGAGAAGACGAATCTTTTTCTACCCGGCCTGGATACGTCAGGCCAAGCCAAGTATCGAGGCCAGCACTGACTTGCAGCTGCGGTGTACACTAATAAACTGGCGGTCGGACTCTGCGGCTTCTTTTGGGGCGCTTTCGGCTTCACGAAATAGAAAAAAAAAAGCGGGAGACAGAAGCTTACCTCGTACACTCCGCATAGCACCAATATCGGCTCAGTGACACGATCCTGTCAGACCGACCAGGCCGGAACCCCTCGTTGTTGTGCAGACGTGGACACAACGGCCGTTGAGGAGGGTTTGAACTTTGGGCAGCATACAAATGTAATTTCGTAACTGGAAGTTATTGTATTGGTGAAGAGTTGTTCAAGAGTTCCATGTTTACTACCGGCAGAGCTGTGTGGACAGTACGGACGTACTTACTGAGTAATAATAAGCTCATAAAGAACCTGAAGCAAGAGAAAGCCGATGGTGAGTGATGGCAGATGACGGATCCCGGAGGTAGTCGGTACAACAGATCGCTAAGGCGCCTACCGGCAACCCCCGGGAACCGCCTGGAGCCCCCCCTGCTGCTCGCCTAAAGTAAGACATGGCTAGGTACCCGGTACCGCCAAGAGAGGGAATGCAATGCACCCTTATAGGACCACTAGCGTCGCACCCTAGAACGACCTACGTGGCTGGGCTCCATACCTAATACGATAGGTACTGCCCCAGCTGCCCGTGAGTTAGCGCTGTTGGATGTACTAGTACCGTATGCGCTATAAGGGCTCTCGGCGCAGTGCGCTGTCGCCCGGGTACCGGTACCTGACGCGCCTCGCTCGTAGTGGCCGGGGCTGCTCTACAGTGGCTACCCAAGCTTGAAGCTACCGAAAGGAACAGCCGTATCACGAGCACTGCCACACAACCAAGAATAGTGTAGCCTGTAGGTAAGAGCGACGCGGAGCATCGTAGGCAGGCATAATTATTATTATATCGCCATGGCTCAACTGTACTGAATCGTCGCTGAATTATATCCAACCAAAAAAAATAAAAAATAAAAACACATGACGGAATAAAAGTCTGAAACAATACCTACCCAAATCTATACTCCATAAACCACCATCTGTCTATACACACACATCTTACACCTTCTCACCACCTTCTCACCTACGCTCCGTGTCGTGCTTATCTAGTCGTCCACTCCTTCGAGCCAACAGCAGCCCGACGACGCTATCCCCTTGCCCTCACGATCCCAATTGCTTGTCCTTCGAATCACCCGCATTCGCTGGAGACACGACATCGGCGTCCAAGATGGTGTGGGCGTAATGGTCGCCGCTACTCTGCTTCGCTTCTCCTTGGGCTGAGTTTATTTAAAATCACCGCTTCCGTCGCCCGACAACAATATGAGAGTTCCGAGTGTGAGAGTCGCGACCATCGTCCCACCCTTGTCCGAATACGCCGAGTCGCCGAGCCGACCAAAACGTGCGCCCTCCCGTAGTGCGAGCGCCTCGGCTCTCGTCGCAGCGACTCTGCTCTTGCTGGCCTGCTCTGTCGTCCCCCTCGCCGCCGCCGTTCAAGTCCCGTTCGACAACTGCCTTAGCGAGAACTATATTGTTTCTAACGACCGTATCCCAACAAACGAGATCCAGCTGCAGTTCGTCCCGCTAGTCGCCGATGCTGTCTTCGACGCTGGCGGCGACCAGAACCACAATTTGTTGTTCAGGGTCTGGGGGAACGTCACAGGAAGGGTGGGAAACGCCGTTCTGCCGCCGCCAGGAGATCCCGCGTGGAACGATCCGTCTTCCCAGGCAGCCCTGAACGGCAAAATACAGAATACCATTGAGCAGGGCTTGTCGACATACAATGCCACTACTCTTCACTCGACC